TGGGGTCAGTGATCCCTATGGATGCCTTCCCACTCAGGATATTCTGGAATTCTAAGCTCTCTTCCTGATTGAAGTGCCTTTTCTAGGTACCTCAGCCATAAGCATCTGCCAGGCCTTTCCCAGTGGTAATTTGTTGTTTCCCTGGGTGTGTCTCTCCTTTAGGACCCCCACCCTGGCGACATGGGGTGGTGTGGCTGGCATTGGGGTGATCTGGGCCACAGACTGGAAGCTGGTCTTGCAGTACGTTCCGTACATTGGCGGCAAGTACAAAACTGAAGACTGAGCTTCCCCCTAATGGTGAGTTTTGTTTGTGCATCTCTTGGCTTAATCAGTAGAATTATAAAGTCACAGAATCCCAGATTGGTTTGGGTTGGAAGGACCTTAAAGCTCACCCTGCTCAGCCCCTGCCATGGGCAGGGACACCTTCCACTATCCCAGGTTGCTCCAAACCCTGTCCAGGACAGCCTAGCCTGGAACACTTGAACACAATAACCCTGTGTTGGTGTGACAGTGGATATTTCTTCTTTGCCTGAGGCACAATAATTTTTTTTTTCTATTTTTTAAATGGAGCTTCACAGAGCACCAAAGGATGAAATATTCATTAGAATATGTTTTTCAAGTAATTTTTTTTGCAAGCAGCGTGTTTTCCACAACATAATGCTGTTCTTAAGAGGTTAAATCAAGCTAATTTGGAACTTTTGACTTGTTTACTTCTGTTCCTGAGCAGAAGAGCTACAAGCTCAGGGCTAGTTTTGTGACTAGGCAAATTCAGACTCCTTTCTGCTCCTTGTAACTGGTATTAAAAATAAATTTAATTTTCAGAGCTTGTTATTGTATTCCACAAATTCCTTGGAAGATTTGCTTTCTCCAGGTTTTGGTTCTTTTCCTTCTTTAAATGCATACCCGAAGTGCTGATCTGAATGTTCTGAAAGTTTGACCATTCCTAAAGCTGGAACAGCAATTGTATAATCCTTCTGTAGGGGCTCTAACTGCATATTCTTTTTAGAAGGCAGGCTTTGATTTTCTTTATTCCTTGCTGCAGATAGAAGGGACTCAGGAAGATTTTTCCATTCATTAAAGGATGCTAATGGAGAAACTCTGAGTCCAGAGGAAACTCTGTCCACCTCAGTGTTTGTTTCTTCTGGTCAGAATAACAGTTACATCTAAATGTTGATTAATGGAAGTGAGCTATTTCTGTCCAGCTACACAGTACTTTGTAGGGAAGTCAGTCAGTCTGGAAAGCACAGACAGTACTTTTTAAGTCCTTTCTCAGCCATAGTTGTTGCAGTTTAAACAATTTACTGTTTGCAAACTTTGTGTTGCACAGATCCTTCTGTGACCAAGAGAAGAATGAAACTTGTCTTGCAAGTCAGCTGAACTGGAGGGATTGTGGGTCACTGTGATGTTTACAGCCAAGTCATAGAACCATAAAATCACCCAATGGTTTGGGTGGGAAGGGTCCTCAAAGTCCCTTCAGTGCCACCCCTGCCATGGGCAGGGACACCTTCCACCATCCCAGACTGCTCCAAGCCCTGTCCAACTGGGATGGACAAAAGTTTTCAAGTGGAAAAGCTCTCAAGTTATGTAGTGGCAATTAAATTACCTTTCCTTCCTTAAAAATCGTCAGTAGTAGGAGCACAGCTCTATTCCTGAGCCAACAGCCTGTGTTTCCCATTTTGAAGTAAGAACTTTGTGGGAAGAGGAGCAGAGAAAGGGGATGTGTCTGTGGTGAGCTGTGCTCCCTTCCAGAGGGACTCCAGGCCTGCCCACCCACACCTGCATCAGCTCCTGTACCTGAAACTTCTGCCTGGATCCTGGAGGATCCTGAAACCTCTCAGTGGCTGCTGTATAGAAATGTGCCCTTTGTTGATAGAGTGACAAAACTATCTTTTGTCTCCTTAAAAGGAAAAGAGCCTAGAAGTTTCTCTTCAATTAGGTGAAATTACACCTCATAGAACTTGGGAGATTTCACCATAAACTCAAGGATAGCTAATTGAACAAAAGCCAAAAAGTCTTGCCTGAGCAATTAACTAGAAAAAGAAGAGAACAATGAAACTAATGGCTTTTGTGAGATGTTTTACCAGGAGCAAGGACCTCTTGCACTTAGCTCAGTTTTTCTCTGTAAAGAGTTTTGTTATTTTGCCTTTTATTAAATTTTTCTGTTGCCAACACTACCTCAAAAGTCATCCTGCTGATTTTATGCCTTCTAAGGTAGCTGAGCTATCTTGGGTGTGAAACAGATCTCCAAGAGCTGATAAGACCTGGCTTGGGGACACCCCTATTTCCCTGCTGTGGCTGTGTGCAGGAAGCTCTGCTTAACCACTGCTCTGTGTTTGTTGTAGGATTCTTTGCTGGAGAGTGTCTGGAGCCATCCGTCCCTGAGACCCTGCTGGGGTGACCCTGAAATCACTACAGATTCTGCAACAAGCTGTGCTCTGTCTGTGTCTGTCTGTCTGTCCCATGAACAGCTGTGAGCAAATCCACCCTCACTGACCACTTCCTCTGAGCACTTTCCTAGCACATCTTGCCCTGATGGGAGCAGTTTATAAACCAGGTGTACAATGTACAAAATAAACCAAGTGAATGATTTTTGGGGGCTTGGGTTTTTTAGGATTTTGTGGGTGTGTGTGTGTCTTACCTTCTTAGTCCACATTCTTAAGATCAGACTCCTGGTCTGGTTTTGGGTTATAGAATCATGGAATGATTTGGGTTTGGGTTGGGACACCTGGCACCATCCCTGGTTGTTCCAAGCCTTGTCCAGCCTGGCCTTGGACAATTCCAGGGATCCAGGGGCAGCCACAGCTGCTCTGGGCACTGTGTTGCATCTTCAGCTTCTTGGACTGTGTCTGCCACATGTTTGCCTCTTTTCCTGTGCAGGTTCCTCAGGAATCAACCACTGGCTGCTAGGATGCAGTGATTGATGATTTATTTATATCAATTACAGCTCTTGAGCTACTCTTAGGGGTGTGTTGGTTTGAGGCTCATCATTCCTGGATCATTGTGGCCTCGTGGATGCAGTTAATTTTTCACAGCCAATATTGCAGAGTTTCATGGTAGCAGGTTCCTCAAATTCAGTTTAAAGAAAGGATTTGGGGTTTTTAACATCAATTCATGAACACCTTAAATGGTCTTTATTTTAAGCTTTTCTGGCTTAGTCTAGAGGCTTGAGGAAGGCAGGCCCCAAATCCTGGCTGTCTTTGCACCAGGATGAAAACCAGGGGTTCAGAGAGCTGCTCAGTTCTTAATTTGGGGTTTAAGTAGAAAAATAATCTATATTATCAATTAATAGATCTATTATTTGTGAACTTAAATCAGTGGTGAAACAACCCCTTAACACAAGCCTTCAGATAAGAGTTCTTAGCTGTTAGAAAACCCCTACCACAACCCTTTAGATGAGAGTTTTAGCTGTTAGAAAAAGGAAGAATGAGGATTATTTTGCTCTGGTCTCAGCCACAGATGACTCAGGGGCAAAAAGTTCATCCCTTTTCACAAAGACCAGAATTTACAAACAAACTTCCTCTGTGTGAGAACAGGGTCACTGTTTTCTCTCTGCTTAGTGCCCAATTTCATCTTACTAGAATGTTTGGCTGTCGTGCAAGGTTTGAATCTCTTTAGGGGAATATCCCAGTTGTGGCTGTGCTGCCCATGTGTCCCTGTCAGGGCTGTGTCACCCTCAGGGATGTTTCTATGGAAAACTGGTGGAGAACCTGCCCAAACAGTGGCACTATGCAGGACACTTGGATTACTTAATTAACAGTAAAACTTCTTAGTGTTGCTTCAGCATCATCATTGTTAATCAATAGGGGGGAAAGAATATAATTTTCACATGCAAAAACTGCCTTTGCTGCTCTGCTGTAGCCACTAAAATGCAATCACAGAATCGTGGAATATCCTGAGTGGGAAGGGACCCTCAGGGATCATCAGGGCAGCCCCTGTTCCTGCCCAGACACCCCAACAGTCCCACCCTGAGCACCCCTGAGAGTGCTGCCCAAACACTCCTGGAGCTCTGGCAGCCTTGGGGCAGCTTCCCTGGCATATGGAATAATGGGATAATGGTGCTGATTCCTCAGGCTGTCCCATCTCTCCTCCAGCAGTGCTTCTGGCTGACCCGCAGGAGATCAGAGCCTCCCCTTCACCTCAGGGTGCTGAGAGTGCAGGTTTGACAGCAGCAGCCTCTGCCTAACATAGGGGTGCTGATACTGATCCATTTCCAGCCAAATTGTGCCTGGAAATTTGGGAAGTTCTTGAGAAGTGGGTGTTGTGTCAGCCTGGCCTTGCACAGCAGCAGGATTGTAACCTCAGCTCTGGACAGCTCAGTCCCTGCCCTTACTTTCCCTGTGTGACACACCTGGCAGGGTTTGTGTCACCTGCTGCTTCAGAAATTCCCTGGTGTTGCCTTGTTCCATGGCTTGGAGATCTTTGGGAGGGCTGAAGCTGGGGTTCTGTGGTGTCCATCCCCCTGAGAACCCCGGGGTCCCCGAGCTGGCTGGCAGTGGTGACAGTCACCTTTACACAGCCCCAGTGGCAGAGGTGTGCCCAGCAGGTGAGATGAGATACTGAAAGGAGAAAAACATGTTTAAAATCCCAGCTCTGTGCACTGGCAGCTCTGCAAGGAATGCACAGAGCTTGGATTTGTTTGGAGATTGTTCATCTCCTTGTTTTTCATGCACCACTTCCAGTGATGGATTTATTGCTAATTAACCCTAGAATTAGTGTATAACTGGTTTAATTGCTATATTTCTTTTGCTGCAAGATCAAGAAACATTCTTGAAAATACCTTCTGCATTCTTGGGCAAGTCACTGTTAAAATTCAAATAATTACTGTTCAAGTGGCATGGGTGATCTTTCAAATTTTAAATATCCTAGCATTGCCTCTCTTCTAACAGTTAATAATGAGCAATGAATGCCACATATGTTAGGAACAAAATAAAAACAATGACCTGACAGAGGGGGAAAAAGCTTCCCATTCCAAACCTGGAGAGGGCCCAGAGGTAGCTTTGGACTTGAGCTGTGGGTTGATGATGTAAAGGGAGGCTTTGCATTCCTCCTGCCTCTTCCAAGTGTTTGCCCTTGTGGTGGTGCCCCCACTTCACTTCCCTCCTGGAATGTGGCAGTGGAGCTGGGACAGGTTTTTTTCATTCACTGCAGCCACCTGAGCACTGGGAGCCTGCCCAGCCCCTGTTGGTCTCTGCTCCTGGAGCAGCCTCTGCTGGAGCTCCTGGGTTGGGAATTCTGTGGCCAGTCCTGCTCTGGAATCAGCTCCTCTGCTGGCTCTGGGAATGCAGAGTGGGAAGCTTCAAACCAGGGATACCTGCACAGTGAAATCAAGTTTTTCTGTCAGAATATCCTGCTGCTTCTTTCCATGTCTGACAACAACTGATTTTGGTGATTTTTGGGATTATCTGCTCATCCTGGGGCAACACAGAGTCTCTGGCAGCTGAATCCACTTTCAGCTGGTGCTTTTACCTGCAAATACCTCACCTGGCAGTGTTCCCAGAGGAACACTGGAATATTTTCCCTTCAGCTCAAGAGTTCATTTCTACCCAAACATTTCACACAGTCCTAGGAGAGAGTAAATATTTCCCTTCCACAAACTGGCCCCAGCTGCCAGTGAAAACTGATTTTCTACCTCCTGATACCCTCAGCTCGAGGTCCAGAGGACGTGTGGGGATTCTCCCACAGACTGGCTGTGACACTTCCACATCCAAACAGCTCCACTTGCTCCCGGCTCTGCCAGTTCATTCTTATAAAACACCTCTGGAGGTTTCACCGTGCTTCAGTTTCCCTTTTGCACTCCAGAGCTCCACATCAGTAGAAGTTTTTGGTTACAGCAGTATACATTGAGCTGGATTTGAGGTTTGGGGTGTTTTATTACAAAACACAGGGAAGTGCATTGATGGAAAATAGTGTGGGTTTGATCAATAGTGGAATTGGAAGTTTTCCATCTCTTTTGTGCAAGATTGAAGGAAATAACAGCAATGGCAGAGCGAGACGTTTCCTACCTGTGAGCCCAGAGGAGACAACACAAACCCCCACACCCGGTCCCTGGGGAGCCGGAATGCCTTCGGGGCAAAGCTCAGCATCGGTCACATTGAAGACACCACCTCCACCCGCACGGATCTTAAACCTTTTTAAACAAAGTGTAACCCAGCACCTACGGGCGCACCTGGCTCTTGGGAATTGTTTCCCGTTTCAACTCCCGAGATGGACAATTTGCAGCCCATTGTGGGGGTGTGGGCTTCCCTCGCATCCCTGACAAGTCTCACATCCTCCCTCAATCTCCTGCTGCTTTTCAAACGAGGGAGTTTGAAACGAGTGAGTGAGCCCCGAGTTGAAAAGAAAAAGGCAGTAAGTAATTCCCAACAATGTGATGTTTAACGATGGCAATGCTGGTTCCTGCCCTTGGGACAGATTGGGGATGAGAGGTGCTGTGGGAAGGGCCCGGGGGGTCCTGGTCAGTGCAAGTTGGATCTGAGTCCCTGCTGGGTCCTGGCAGCCCCAAGGGCCACCCTGTGCTGGGGGCACCAGGCCCAGGGAGGGATTGTCCCACTCTGCTCTGCCCTGGGGCAGCCTCAGCTCCAGTGCTGGGGGCAC